TGTGTGACAGAATACTACCCATCAAACTTAAAGGAAAATTCTATAAGATGGTGGTGAGACTTGCAATGCTTTATGACGCAAAATGTTGGTCATTAAAGGAGAAGCATAAAAGTTAAATGTTACATAAATGAGAATGCTCAAGTGGATGAGTGGCTTCGCTCTTAGAGACAAAATGCAAAACAAGTATGTACGTGAAAGGGTTGGAGTAGCTCTAGTGACAAATTAGATTAGAGAGGGTCGCCTTATATGGTTTGGTTACATAAAACGTTGGCCTTCTCATGATTCACTTAGGAGACTAGATGTATTAGAGTTGGGCTATATTAAGAAAGATAGAGGTAAACTTAAAAAGACTTGGTTAGAAAGTATTAGAAATGACATTTTTCTATTAGATTTAAAAAGAAATTTGACTCTTAAGAAGACATAATGGAGACAAAGAATTCATGTAGCTTATCCCTCATAGTGGGATAAAGGCTTGATGTTGTTGGTTTTGTTATAATCTTCTTAACAAGCTTTATATCGAGCTTGTTCATGAGTTTTAACTGATATTGGCCATGAACAGGGGCAGAGCCAGAAATTTTTTCATGTGGGGGCATAAGTTATTGAATGTCAACTTTTTTCATCGACAATGAAGAATAAATTATTGAAATAATGATACTGTAATAATCTGAAAATGAAGAATAAATTGATTTTCCAAAAAAAGTAATAAAAACTGATTAGAGTCAAATTTTTAGATATTACTAGAAAATTCAAAAGAGTTGTGAGATATCACACATAGAACTATGAAAGTAACCCATTTCTTAAAAATATTTTGAGTTGAACGTAAACTATTTGCTCCATCTTCTCTTCCTCTAAAAAAAATAAAAAATAAAAAACTCTCACTCTATGTATTTTCCATTGTTAGCAGTGTTAGGACTGCAAGCTTTATTTATTTTTTAGCAGCAAAAACAAGATCATAAAATTGAAATTTCCTTCAATAGGCACCATTCATTGCATTGCCATTTTCTTCAACCTTATGCACTTCGCACCACCGCCAATCAAACCAGCAGCGGCGGAGGGAGAAACACCGCTTATTGTTTCTCCTCAACGAGAGCTCGAGTGCCCAAACAAATGGTGTTTGTTATTGTGCATCCATACCTTAAAAATACCTTTGCCAATTCCAATTTCATTTTAGTACTTTTCCACCAATTCTTCATCTCATTTCTGAAGCAATCATCCAAGTCTCTCTGAGAGCTCCAACATCCTGTCCTTCTGCTCCAGGCTAAATTTGGTCCGAAACTGCATTCTTAGCGGCATCACCAACACCACGGGGTCGGAATCGTGAAAAATCTTTCGGCATCGGCAGGCAAATCCCCATCTCGGACATCGTTGCATAGCGTAAGTGGCATGTGGGGGGCCAAAGAGAAGTACGGAGGTGGGGAAGGCTAGGGCTTTTTGGTCCTCATCAACGCGACGACCTGCAAGCTTTATAAGTAGCCAAGTTTTTTTTTTTTGGTTCAGCTCTGCGGGCTTGCAGTGGTGGAGATAAATAAATAGACAGAGAGACGCCGTGATGCTTGACCAGGAAGCATGCAGACTCCGCATGCCTTGCGTGAAGTATGAAACACGTGAGTTTGAAGAAGGTGGAAGGAAAAAAAAATTAAAGCTATTCTTTTGTATATTTGCATGAACATAAATAACTTTAATTAGATCTTAATTAGATAGTAATTATGCAGTCAGTGGGGGCCCGTGTCCCCAGGGCCCCAGCGTGAATCTGCCCTTGGCCATGAACATAAACAAGCCGAACAAATAGCTGTTCAAGCTTTTTTATTTAAGTGTCAAGTATTTTAAAAATTGTTAAACATGTTTATTATTTAAACAAACGATTATGAACGAGTTATAATTGAGTTGAACCACGAGTAGCTTGTCAAACGTTCGGTTCATTTGCAGCCAAACTAATCGCAACCGCTTAAGATTATTCTTTCCATTTTAATAGTATGTTGAATGAATGTTTGAAAGCTTTTCTGTTGGATTAGTTGCATCCCTCAATCCCAGGAGAAACCAAGGATCAATGGTATGTGAGCATTTTTATTGTTATCCATGGAGAGGGAACATTGGTTCTGTTCATAGAAAAAAGTAGAAGATGAAAGAAATTTGGCAAACAATGATGAAGCCTATAACAATGAGATTAATTTGATACAATGCATTGATGAAGATTGTAATAATGAGAAATGTTTGTGGTTGAGATGAAAGTTGCTGTTATAAAAATGTAGGGAGAAGGAAGAGAGTGCAACAACGAAGGCCGCATGATTGTTGTAATGTAGCAATGAAGGCTACTGTACGTGCTCTTTGATGTCATGACAATAATTTGTTTAGTGTTTCATTCTAACATTTATGTAGTATATATACAATCCCAAGTGAACTTGTAATAGTAAATATACAAAATCAGGAAATAATAATTATTGAATAATTATAATAATTCATGGATTAATGAGTAAGCAGATTAAGAATTATAGAATAATTTTAATAGTCTATTGTTGATGAGTAGTCCAATATGGATTCCATGGATCAATGAGGTGGAAGAGGATGAAAAGTGGGTGAAGTATTTGTGGGTATGTCTCGGCTGACATAAATTATGCTAGAGTTTCACGGAGGCGATATGGATATATAGTAGGGCATGACTTAGGTTGATGAGGACATCGATCCAAGGTTCAAACAGGTGTATCGCTGGAAGCATCGCAAATCGACGGCCACGATTCAGAGCTTATATTTTTAGTTATTATGCATTTTATTTTATTTATTCCTTTTGTACCCTTATGTTGAGTTGAGTCATGTTGGGGCCCTGAGGGCATTTTAGTCTTTACTTTTCTTGTATGATTGAGACCTATATATTTGGGTCTTTTCTCTTGTAATGGTTAATGAATATTTTGAATGAAATTTGCTTTAGTTATCTTTCTTCTTCTTCTTCTTCTTCTTGTGGAGAGCTAGAGAGGAGAACGAGAGCCCAAGGTGTGGGCGAAAAGCAATACCCGCCAGTCATTGGAAGAGTCCGTGACTCGTGGTCTATCCCCGTCACCCGATCCCCTCCCTTCTCCCCAACCCGCCGGCCTTACCCCCCTCATAGCCGCCGGCCACCCCACCTCCACCATCCGTCCGTAAGCCTCTCAACCGTTGACCCCATCCGCCATTCCCCCACGTATTCCAATTTTGAAAATTCAAATTTTGAATTTAAAAAACTTTTCAATTCTGGAATTTCCTAATTAGGAAAGTTTTAAAATTCGAATCATGATGAAATCCAAATTCAAACGGATTTTATTCTAAACCTTCATAAATTTAATGAGCCGATTTGGAAACTATTTACTTGCTCCCACACCAAATCCCTTCCTCTAGAAGCCGCCGGCCACCTTGCATGGGCCCTTCTTCATGCCACCAATTAATGCATTGATTACCCCACTAATTTGAAATCAATTTCAAAGTAATTCCCCCCTAATTTCGTTCAAAACTTGAATTAAATTTCAGGTTTTAAAATTGAAACCCCCTCCCTCCTCTATTGAACCCGCCGGCCTCCCCCTTTGATGGTCACCATTAATTGCTCATTAATCTCCCTTAATTGCATTTGAAATTTGAAATTAAGTTCAAATAACTCCCTCCTAATTTACTAAAATCTGAAACTAATTTCAGATTTGAGTAAATCTATTGCTACACTCATCTAACCTAGAACCCCTCTCTCAAAACACCCGCAGGCCTCTCCACCTTCATCATCTCCACCTTCATCATCTCCACTCTTCCAACGCAAGGATCTCCCCCTCACCTTCACTTAAGTCTCCTCTCTTTGAAGAATTCTCTACGCCAAGCATGTATGGCGGATCCGGAGCTTGAGTGGGGTCTTGTGTTCAACGCCGACGGAAGCTTGAATATCCTACGGTCACCATTCTTTGACGTAGGATTTGAAGACGACGCCACCGTGAGAGATTACTTGAAACGAGTGGTTCCTACCATTGCAAGCGTCATCGACCGCCAACATCCAAACTACAATTGGAGCATCGACCGTCGATCATTTCCATCGTCCTCGCCATCGATAACCTTCCCGTGGATCAAGGCCGTTGTGGTTGCTACCGTTCTCGTGGCATCGTCGGGTTTGCTAAAACCTTTCTTCCGCTAAGCCTAGTGTAGTCAAGTGATACATCCCCAAGGTGAAAACTCTCATTATTAAGTTGTGGATTGTTGATTAATAGCTTTTGGTATTACTACTATCTTTGGTTATCTTTGAGTTTAGCTAATCTACATGTACTTCCTCGCCTAAGCTAGTTGAAACTGAAATTCTTTAAGGAAATTTACTTGTCATTTCAATAAGTTGTTACGTGAAATTTCTTTACCAATTCTTCTTTAAATTTCTTAACAAGCTCCTTTGCATAATGTTTCACATCATAGGTAATGAATTGAGATAATATTTGCATATTCATAATATCACTAGCAGCTTAAGTAATTGCCAAAATGATAATATTTGCCTTATTAGATGGTTTGGTCACATAAAACGACGGTCTTCTGATGATCTGGTTAGGAAAGTAGATGTATTAGATTTGACTTTTGTTAAGAAAGTTAGAGGTAGATCTAAAAAGTCTTGGTTAGAAAATATTTGAATTTATCAAATTTAAATGAGAATTTGACTCTTAACAGGACATGATAGAGAAAAATGATTCATGTAGCTAACCCCACGTAGTGGGATAAATGCTTGATGTTGTTGTTGTTGCTGCTGAATTGCCATTCAACTTCATATGTTTATTTGATGGTCCCGTGAATGAGGTGACCTTATATGATGTATTGCTTTTTTGCGTGTTTAGATGTGGTGAATCTGTTGCTTTTTTAATGCATTTTAGATATAAGAAGTTTCAGCGCATCATTGTAAAGGTTGACAACAGACGCTCCTCTTTATTTCTACTTGAATGTGCTAAAATCATCACACATTCGTAGGTAATTATGTTCAGTCCTGTATAACAATCCCCATAAGTTTGTATCATATGCAGGGGTGTTGTTGGTGAGCTTTATCTTTTTATTCACGTCAACGAGAAACCAGGAATCAGAAGGGAAGGTCTTAATTTGTATTCAGAGATCGGCCTTGATTATATAGAAGCAATATTGGGGACTACGATTAAGGTAAAATTTTTTTGGTGGTTAATCCTATTTTTCTTCCCTTCAAAATCTGAATTGTTCTTCTGGCAATGCCTTTTAAACTTTTTCACCACCAGGTTTGATATCACATTGATAAAATTTAGGCTATGGTCAATTTACCTGTCATTCGTTTTGAGATCACCAAGGTATTCTGGTTTGTTGTGTTATTAAAATCTAACTGCTAAATGATGAACGATAAATTGTAAAATATATGATTCGAACCCTTGAACTTTGGGAATTAATCTTATCTTTTAACCATTGGGTCACAACAACGTCCAAGCTGTCAGCCCTGCTTATGAATTTGAACTACAGTAGAAAATCGTAGATAGCCTAGGCTACGATGTTATATAAGTAAAAAATAGCAATAGGCTATAACCAAAGCATGTGAAAAAACTTGAGCAGATCGTAGATGGTAGATTGCCTAAATGGCGTGTAAGAAATTACCACAATAAGCAATAAGAAAATAACATGAACCCCTACTTGTAGTCCAAGCTACATTATGGATGGTTCAATCAACAATTGAAGTTAGTTGAACCAATGAAAATAGGAAGGCTGTGTCTTATAACATAATCAAAAGACCGTAGTAGCAAACAAAACTTAATAAATTAATTTAAAGAGAACACATCTCATTCTCATAGGCGTTTACAACATATGCATGATTTAAAAAATAAAAAATAAAAAAAATGCAACACCAAACTCATAAATACTGACCTCAATGCTCAATTTCTGTGTTTTTAACTAGTATACCTGTTTTGACTTACACAGAAGATCGACTAGTAGGAACTGGAACATGCAAATCTTTCTTTGGTACTCATTCATCCTCATTAGTGGTAGAGAGTAAAGCTTATTTTATGTCAACAAGATGATTGACAAGTTCTGTTAATTTCTTTGTGTCATTATTTAGATATATGGTGGCATTTCCCTTGCTTGTTTTACTTTAGTTCCTCATAATATAGTGAATTGCTCATACTTTACATGTATCGTGATTTGCCCTGTATTTCTTAAGCATAGATTTTAAATAGTTTGTGAAAATGCACTGAGTTGTATGAATGCTTATCAGTTACACATGGGCAACTAAATTCCTACCTAGGTTGAGACGGTTGAGGGAAGTCGAGATCTTTGCATTCCTCCTGGGACGCAGCCTGGAGACATATTAAAGTTTTCTAACATGGGGGTACCCAATGTCAAAAAGCCCTCAGTTAGAGGCGATCATCATTTTATTGTGCGTGTTCAAATCCCAAAAAGGATCAGGTTTGATTCTCTCTTGATATTCCATGCAGATAAATATATTGTGCGCTTCTCAGTTTTTTTTTTAATATATGTTTAGCTGTAGGAGCTCTAGTATATTTATAAAACTATAAACTATTTCAAATGCTTTTGGAATACAACTTTTGCATAGATTTATAGTCTTTATCACTACAGTTATTTAATCTTTTGGGATTGGCATACAAAAGAATGTAAATTAAAACTGTTTTGGTGGGTAATGGTGAGATTATTAAAAAAGGTGCTAACGTATGATCTCTTGAGAAGATGATGATAAAACGGAATGGAATGTTACGGGGACGGGAAAGTTGTTCACCCTAGCAAAATGGGGAATGGTAAGAAGGTAGGACCATGAGTCGCATGCTATAATTTGACAGCCAAGGTTAAGTTCTTGTTGCTTTGTATTAAAAGCCAATGTGTATTAAACTCTCACTTAGAATTCGATGAAGAAATCAATTTATATTTTTATAGGAAATAAAGATACGAGCTTAGCTTAATTTAAGGATAATCAAACGAAGAATTAAATGATAGGGAAAATTTTAATTTTGATCTTATGACGGACAATCACTTATGTAACAAGGACACTAACATGAGACAAGGACACAATACAATATTAACATCAGAAATACATAATTGTAGAAAGTATGATATAGCACATTATTGGTAGAATACATTTTTTTATAAATTATTAATATAAACTGAATAATTAAGGCACCCAATGTTAGTATTTTCGATAAAAAAATATCATTCATTGAAGTATAATATCAATACTAATAATAATATAAAAAGAAGGGGAGATGGAGTGAAGTGGACTAATTTGGGTTAGGTTTTTGAGGTGGAGTGGTTTTTTAGGGCTATTAGGTGCTAAATTATGGGGTGTAGTAGGTAATGAGGAGAGGAGTTTTTGTGGATGCTTGGGAGTTGAATGGAAGCTAAGATGGGGTAGATGGTTGAAAGCAAAAGTGTGAGGGCTGTTGGAGGGAATTAGCTGTAGAGGAGAGTTGTTTGGGCAAGAGGGAGAGGCGGTTATTTCGTGCACTTGAGAGGGGGACTCGAGTGTGATCGGGCTGGAGGGATGGAGGCTTCACGTACGGGGGTCCTTTCTGCGTCTGTGGGAGATGGAGTGAGAGGCTCAGTTCAGTAGGTGAGGAGGGAGGGAGGTCGGGTTGCGGTTTGCAGGGAGGAAACGGGGTTGCACCGGTCAGAATAGGGATCGTAACGCTGGACGTGCTTGCGGCTTCGTGCGTGAACGGGAGTTCAATCGCGTGAAAGGGATTCGGTTGTGTGCGGGAAGGTCAGACTGGACCAGGTTGCTTACGTGCGATGCTGGGTCGTGCGATTGGGTCAGGTCTGTAGCTATGAGGTCAGTCGACATGGAAGGTTAGATGGGAGGTTTGACTATGTGTGACTAGAGCAGGAGATGGACGGGCGATGAAGGCTCTTGTCTGAGGAAGTTTTCATGTAAAATAGAAGACCCGAGCTCTTCATTTGTCCTTGCTTTAATAACAAGAACAAGATGTAATCGTGGTAAGTCGTAGGATTCTAGGGAAGAGATGCTAGCGGCGTTGGTGCTGAATACCAGGTAAGTGACGATGTCATTTTTTATTTAATTAACTTAATTAATTTTTTTTAATATAGTAGAGAAAAATTCACACACACATATATATTATTATGTAATTTAATTAAAAAATTTATGCAGCTCAATTTGCGCATCGTTGCCTCAAAATTTATATCGATTTTCTCATGCAAGGTCCCTAGGCAATATCACAATCATTTCTATATAATTTAGATATTTCAAACATAATGGAGAAGTCTGTTTTGCGATCGAACGTCGTTTGGGCAGTGTCACGCAACATCGTGTGCGTGGATCGTCAATTTCAATAATCTTCGCTCGATTCGATTGTGAGGGGCTCCGTATTAGGTAAATTCAACATTCCGATCGCATCGGCGAAGTCCATTTGGTGATCATGATCGTTTGAGCTGTTTAGTGATGCTTCGTGTCGCTCCTGTCATTAATTTTAGTCATTTTTGTGCTTGCTAGTGTATTGGTCAACATTTTGATCTTGTACAAATCTACTATCAGAAAAGATATATTGTACACAAATTTCAAGGCATGTCAAAGACGTGTATGTTTTGATATTTTCCCAACATGGGCAAGAATTTTTTAAGTGTCTATTCTTCATTAACCCCCATTGAATTTTTTTTTTTTTTTGTTGGATTGATCCTCCTAGTAGTCATGTATGGTTTACAAGGGCATTAGTTTAAGTTTATTGAAGAAAACTTAGTAGTTGGTATAATGTTTGCATTAAAAAAATCTTGAAGCAATTGTTTGATGTGATTGATGAAAACTTGTTTGTCGTTGGGATGGTGCCGCATAAGCTGCTTTCCAAAGAGGGAAAAGATAATGGCAATCCTTTGACCTGAGATACTTCCTGAATTAGGCGATGAAAAGTAATTCAGCTTATAAGAAAACCATTCAGGTGGTGTGATCGGATTATGCATTTGGAAAGAACAATGATGGATCTCATATAAAGAAGATGATTAGTCTTTATGTGTAGGAGGAAGAGAATTACAGAGCAAGACAATAGCGCACATAACGACCGTTGATGTAGGCAAAGGGGGGTCAAAACATTTTGAATTATAATTTTGGTGAGCTCTAGGTCCTCTACTAGAATCAGCTCATTAATGTCTAGTAGAGAGTCTTTTCAGCTCATTTTCTGCCTCTTTGGTTTCCTCACCTAGCTCCCCCTTTCATGATTGCCTTTTCCCCTTCCCCTTCGTCTTCTTGGTCTTCTCCTGGTTGTTGCTGTTTCTGAAATGTATTCATTTCTCCTTGCTGTTCTCTGTTTGGGGCCTTGGGCTGCTTGCTGTTCTCGGTTTGGAGCCTTGGACTGCTTACTGTCCTCGGTTTGGGGCCTTGGCTGTTGTTGTTCCCGTGACTAGGCTGTTGGGGTTCCGCCCCCTTTTCCCTGGTCTCCTCGGTTTTTGTTGGTTCTGTCCCTTATGTTGTGGATGGAGATGAATTTGGCTGATATTTTGGATGTCTTTTCAGCTGTTGTTTGTGGTGTCTTTTGGCCTTCTATTTCCCCTTATTTATTAAGTTTTAAATAAGATTTTAGTGGCTGTTTAGCTGCCACTTTTATCCTATATATATGTGATGTTTTGGCAAATAAAAAAAGAATGTTATGATGTGATTTTTGGGAGCCTAAACCTGCGGGTTTCATTGTGGAAAAGCTTGAGAGCTTGTTCCATTCCTCTCCTCTTCTAGGAAAGCTTGCGAGCTTCTCCTCCTTCGTCCCAGCTTCTTATCTCGTTCGTCTCTCCGCAAGTTCGATGTCACATGTATCATTCTTCTCAAGGAAAAACAAGTTTAGGTGTTTAAGGTGTCTTTATTTTCTAAGTTTGTAATCGTCCTTTATATTATAAAAAGTGTCTTTTTGGGTATTTTTGTGTCATTTTATTATCCTAGGAATGTCTTTATTTGCTTGCAAAAATTTGGGGCTTTTCCTAAATTTTTGCATGCATCAAATTGGTATAAGAGCTTAGGTGTGGTCTTCCTAGGTTGTTTTGTATCTTTTTTTAAGAGTTAAAAAAAAAAATGGAAAATCACAAAAAAATTGAGTCAGTCTTGGAAGAAATCCAACCAGTCGATCCTACATTTGAAACCCCAATGGACAGTTGGGTTTCGTCAGAAGGGGGTTCAACAGATCCACTACAAAATGAATTGTACAAGCTTCAAGTGAAGATGCATGTGTACAGAAAATTATATGAAGAAAAAGTGACTTATGCAGTCCCAATTCAAGCAAGAAATGGAACTTATTTTGAAGAAATATGAGGACAAAATTCGAGAATTGGATGCGACGCATCCGGGACATACTCAAGCCTCATCAGGAGATGAGTTTTTCCATCCAGGGGAGAATTGATGTAGGCAAAGGAGGGTCAAAATATTTTGAATTATAATTTTGGTGAACTCTAGGTCTTCTACTAGAATCAGCTCATTAATGGCTAGTAGAGAGCCTTTTCAGCTCATAAATCTAAAATAAATTATGGTTCATTCCCCCCATTTGCTGCCTCTTTGGTTTCCCCACCTAGCTTGCCTTTTCATGATTGCCTTTTCCCCTTCCCCTTTGTCTTCTTGGTCTTCTCCTGGCTGTTGCTGTTTCTGAAATGTAATCATTTCCCCTTGTTGTTCTCGGTTTGGGGCCTTGTCCTGCTTGTTGTTCTCGGTTTGGAGCCTTGGGCTGCTTACTGTTCTCGGTTTGGGGCCTTGGCTGTTGCTGTTCCCGTGACTAGCTATTGGGGTTCCGCCCCCGTTTCCCTGGTCTCCTCGATTTCTGCTGGTTCCGTCCCTTATGTTCTGGATGGAGATGAATTTGACTGATATTTTGGATGTCTTTTCAGTTGTTATTTGTAGTGTCTTTTGGCCTTCTATTTCCCATTATTTATTAGGTTTTAAATAAGATTTTAGTGGCTGTTTAGCTGCAACTTTTTTCCTATATTTATATGTGATGTTTTGGCAAATAAAAAAAGAATGTTATGATGTGATTTTTGGGAGCCTAAACCTGTGGGTTTCGTTGTGGAAAAGCTTGAGAGCTTGTTCCATTCCTCTCCTCTTCTAGAAAAGCTTGTGAGCTTCTCCTCCTTCGTCTTAGCTTCTTATCTCGTTCGTCTCTCCGCAAGTTTGACGTCACATGTATCCTTCTTCTCAAGGCAAAGCAAGTTTAAGTGTTTAAGGTGTCTTTATTTTCTAAGTTTGTAAGCGTCGTTTGTAATCGTCCTTTATATTATAAAAAGTGTCTTTTTGGGTATTTTTGTGTCATTTTGTTATCCTAAGAAGGTTTTCATTTGCTTGCAAAAATTTGGGGCTTTTCCTAAATTTTGGCCTGCATCAACTGACATGTATATATGCTTGTTTCTAGCCTAACCCATGAGGCAGTGAGGGGGAGGAGTCCACTAAAATTTATAAAACTTAAGTATATATGGTGTATGGGGAAGTCCATCTTAGCTTATCGGGGAGCAAGGAGAGGGAAAATAAGGGAAATGATAGAAAAGGACGAGACCAAGAAGAAAGGCTTCTTTTTCATATAAAGTAGTTTATGTCTTAATAATATATTGTAATCAGCACCTCTTAAAGGACAAGAAACCTTTATAAGCCGCTTCTTGGCTAAATGCAATATTTAAGTGGCATGGGATGTGGTCTACAATTTGGGCCTGAAGGCAATGAAATGCCAAATATTGGGCTTTGGGCGATGTCATGATTGACTAGCTGTTGGATTCTCAGGTGAGGTGTGAGTTATGGAGAAATATTTTGGCTATGATGGATCATTGTATATGATGAACACACGTTTCCTTCCTATAAGCGTTAGATGTCTTGCATTATGAATGGGCTACCAATTGATGAGAACTTGGAGTAGAAAGCTTTAGATGTCTTGCATTATGAATGGGCTACCAATTGATGAGAACTTGGAGTAGAGAATGGGATGACTTTAAAACGTTAGAATGGAGACCGAGTTGAGTTCAGGTTCTTTGAAGGAAACTGGGCTCTAGGTAAAGCTTGCCGAGAAGCTTGATTTGTGAGGAGGCCAAGTTGTTGAGGAGGTCAACTTGAAGAAGTCAACAATGGGTGATCGTGATAATTTTGAATTTCTGGTGGATTGCAAACTAATATGGTATTCTTTGATACACATCAATTTAAGTGTGATGGGTGACGGCTTGGGAGACTGTGGTCAAAAGGGATATTCTTAAAAGTAGCTCTTTGGAAGCAAGTAACAAATAGTCGGGTGGAGGCCCCCTTGATTGAGTTGCTAAAGATGATTCTGGTGGCTTTCTCTTATGGGAGCTTTAATCTTGATTGTGTTTTCCATGTGTTCAGTCCTTCTGCAGTGTGATACCCAAAATCTTTTTAAAATGTAAGCATGAATTTGCAAAAAATTTACCCCATTTTCATCATATATGTGCATATAGAATATAAGCCTGCTAGGTAAAAATAAAGTAGTTGGTTAATTAAATCAAACCTTAGGAAAAATTATTGTTCATTTCATTAAGTGTACTGTAGCTGAATTCCACTTACATGTGCATGCATCTGTTGATCCACTTAAACCTTCACTCCCACGGCTAGGTGTGGTTGGCATTAGTGGAAATGCATCCATCGATGTTAGGATTATATTATTATATTAGTGGAAATGCATTTTGCTGATGATATTTTTCTTGTTGATAAAACTAGAGAGGGTGTTGAAAGTAAGCTTGAATTATGAAGATTAACATTAGATACTAAAGGTTTTCGCTTGAGTAGATCTAAAACAGAATATATGGAGTGTAATGTTAGTAGTAATAGATCTAGTGAGGGGATTGTGACTTTGGGCGATCAAGTCATTAATAAGAATACACGTTTTAGATATATTGGATCTATTGTTCAGAGTGATGGTGAAATAGATGGGGATATTATCAGCAGAATTCAAGTTGGATGGTTGAAGTGGAGGAATGCATCGGGCTTGTTGTGTGATAGAAAAGTACCCCTCAAACTTGAGGGAAAATTCTATAAGATGGTAGTGAGGCCTGCAATGCTTTATGGTGTTGAATGTTGGCCATTAAAAGAGAAGCATAATACTAAGTTAAGTGTGGCAGAGATGAGGATGCTCAGGTGGATGAGTGGCTTTACCCTTAGAGATAGGATACAAAATGAGCATATACGTGAAAAGGTTGGAGTAGCTCCAGTAGAAGATAAGATTAGAGAGAGTCGTCTTAGATGGTTTGGTCACATAAAACGGCGGCCTTCCAATGACCCGATTAAGAGAGTAGAGGTATTAGATTTGACTTATGTTAAGAAAGGTAGAGGCAAACCTAAAAAGACTTGGTTAGAAAATATTAGGAATGACCTTTCTTTATTAGATTTAAACAAGAATTTGAACTTTAATAGGACACAATGGAGAAAAAAGGATTCATGTAACCGACCCCACGTAGTGGGATAAAGGCTTGATATTATTGTTGTTGTATTAGTGGAAATGCATTTATTAGTTAACTAAGGTATTTTCCATTTCATTCCCACCCGTCATTAATTTCTCTTTGGAGTTCGAAGTAGTCTTTTGTCGAGAGCAAGCCACGAGCTACAAAGGAAGCTGGGGAGGCCGTGAGGGCTACTCGGCAGAAATCTCAAGAAATCGGTAGGAATAAAAGAAAATAAAAGGAATTGAAGGGAGGGGATAAGAGGAAGGAGACTAGAGAGGGGTAAGGGAATTGGTTTGAATGAGAAGTTTTGTTGTGGTAAAATTCTATATTTTTTAGCATAACATTTTTTCTATAACGTTAGAATTCATTTATGAATGACTATGTTTTATTATTTAGGTGGTCCATAAGAGAAAAAATGGTCGGGGTATTCTAGGAGAATAAATCAATCATAGTAGTCTAAAAAATGAAATTAAATACTCAATCTTTAGTATAAGTAAAAGAAATGATAAATTTTTTAATATAATCTTGATAACATTATTTCTCAGATTATCACTTATCACGTTATGATGACTTATAAGTTTATGATCACTTGTTAAATTGAGTTATTTGGTATATTTAGTTATTTGATATATACCATGTTTTGTATGTTGTAATTTGATAATTTGGATGTATGCTATGCTAGTCTGAAGGTTAAGGAGACCAGTCATATTATGGGAGATAGGCCCGTACAAGTAAAGATGAAAGACCTGATAAGATAAGCCTTAATGAGGACCATATAGAAGGTACCTTACTCTCCCTCTCTCTTATGAAAAATTGGAGATTTGGATCCAATTTTAATGGGAGGAGCCATAAGTTTGCTAAAGCATATAGTCATCATATGATTAGTATGAAATAAGAAACATTGAGAGAACTGGAAGAGTTTATATAGTAAATTGCACAGTTGTCTGCATTGATTATTTATAGTTTTACACTCCTTATGATTCTTATAGTAATTCAAATATCAGTATGCAGATTATTGGTGTCTTGTTCTTGTACTAAGATTGTGTATTTTATTGAACATTCAGCTCACCAATGAATGTATTGCAGGAAAAGGGAAGGAGCTAGCGGGGCTCTAGATAGGAGTGTATATAAAAGATAGAGCAGTAAGCTGTACATTAAAACTTTTTTGTATATAACCTTTATTTAAAACTTTAGTAAAGCTTTGCACTTTATTTTGTTGTGTAATGAATATAATTCTGAATATGAAATATTGGGATAAATTTTTAAGACTGAAAAATTAGTTTTGTTGGGATAGTCTAGATAAGTTATTTCCCACTCACTCGATGCTGGTAGAAGTAGTTCAGGATGGGTGTTAGTAAGAAATATATATGTTTGGTTTTACCTTCTCTGTTACGCTCCAAGTTGACTAAAAGGGGTCAAAATGGATTGTGAAATGGGGTGTGGAAGATCAGGTGATTACAGATGCATACACGTATATAATCAAAATGCAGTAATGCCTATAGTCAAGATTTTATTTTTCAAATGATAATATATCTAAGTGCATCATTGTATATTCAAATCAGACATTTATTTGATGACAAAATGCACAAGAATCTATGTTTTACCCAATAATTGGCTTAAGTCATTACTACCTATTAAGTAATATTCTATTAGCAATCGATCAATAAGTAAATTGATTGTCACTGCCTACCCTATTATGCTTTGGTGGGTTTTCAACAATCAATCAATCATATAATTAACTATCATAATTCACATTTATCCACTACATCAAAGCAACTAAACCTCCTGGGCATCATTACAATTTATCCATTGAATAGCCCTAGGGAGGTCCCAAAAATATAAAATATGACTGTCACATCTTATTGGTTTTTAACTGTGCCTTATATCCAATTAATAGAAGGTATCCCCCAATCTGATCAAATTAGTTGCCCCTTTTAATGAGATATAGGCACTCTGAATATAAAAATTATTAGGTAGGCTGGGCAAAAGTATATGATCATGATGGGACTAATGATGATCATATCCATCAAGCTCACTAAAAAAATATTAGAAGCCATAAGACTAATATAACTCTAGAAAGGCCCATATACATGAATGCTAAAAGCTCTACAATATGCAAAAAATTCTTAGATAGGCTGGCCAGAAGTAGTAGAACAGACTCCTTTCGTTCAAGAAGAAAATTTGGAATTTGGAAAAATTTAGCTGGTAGAAGCTGTGTTTGTGGGGCCATCCTTGCATTAACTTGAGTGTAAACTATGCAATAACATGCATAATAAGGATGCTATGTAGAAATGATGGCTTAAGATGGCAATTATGCGTAATATGTTCAACTAATCTTTACTCTCAGTCAACACAAAGATGTAAATTATCAAGTAGGCATAATTAATTGAAAACCTTGTTAAAGATACTAAAAAAAGACCTTAAGCGGTTCTCTAGAAAAAAGTCTTACAGTTTAAAGAGACAGGGAACTAAATGCAGCTATCCATTTAAAGTGTTTTTATGCAAATATCTTATTGATATTATATTTACTTGAACTTTTCCACTTTTGAGTATATATATATATATTGCTTTTGTGTCTGCTATCTACCCCTCTATCCTAAAAATATTGATTTTGCTGCAAGGTATATGACAGGTTCACAAACATGTGCTTCTGGAGCTTATTTGTGCGTAATCCATCATTTGTATTGAAAATTGTATTTTAAATCATGCTGTATTTTAATGTTATAATCAGAATATATATTGATCGCATAACAATAGCCCAGTAGGGCAGTTCCTTTCAGAGTATTAAAAGTTTATTTCAGATATGAAAATGTTATTTGTCTTATCTAAATTACGTGTTGGTGCATTCTTTAGAATATTTTATCAAGATCCAAAAAAAAAGATTTTTCATTTTGTATCTTTTCTGTCTTTGTTGGCATTTTTATCAAAATTTTCAGTGAGAAGGAGAGGTTTCTAGTTGAACAATTGGCTTCTCTCAGGAACACCTTGGAGGATTCCTCAACTCCTCGAAAAGGTGAGACTTGTTCTTTTTTTTACTTAAAGAAGGCTCTCATCTTGAGTAAACTTGCACTCTTTTTATAAATATTGCAGGGGTGTTTCAGTATGATGGCAGTAAACAGCAAACAAGAAACCAACAACCAAATGCTTCAAGAAAACGTAGAAGAAGACCTAATCAATCTTTTTGGGGCTCTATTAGAAATTTGTTTGGGTATGCTTTCTAACTTGAAAATTACATGCCCTTCCCAAAACTGCATATAGTTTCTTCAGTACCAGCAAGCCTGAATCAATTCCCTCGCTTAATTATTTTGTTTCACAGAATATATACAAGAATGGCTAGCTGTATGACAGCCGTTTTTGTTTAATCCCATGCTTAAGCCTTTATTTCGAGGTAGACTCTGGAGATGCCTAGAATAATGCTTTTTGAAAATTTCATCAGCATCTGCTTTCCTGCAGTTGTCCTGCATACTGCGCCAAAGTTTTGATGGTGTTAAAAGGACTGTCCATTTAGGCAGGAAGCAGGGTCATTGATTAACCCTTTTTGGTTGAAGTAAATGGACGGGCTGAAAATGGCCTTAATAGGCTTAAGTGAAGCAGTAAGCTCATTTATGATTTAAAAATTAGCTTACAACACCCAACACCCATGACAATGTCGACGACCATCACTTATTGTTGGCTTCCATTGCTCGAGCTTACTAGGTTCTTCTGACCTATAATCTGTTTGTGTATCTAAAGATCAAACGGGTCTAAAGCTTTAATGGGTGGTTCTGCATTGCTCTTCAAATTTCAGGCGAGCCTAGTCCCATAATAAGCTTTCTAGGGTTTAACTAAACAATTTGGATTGGTTATTCAAAATACTTGCATCACACAAGCACATGTTAACATCTAACCATGTGAGTACTTGAAACAGACAAAGAAAAACTATTCTAAACTTATTAAGGCAAATGAGTGGACACGTACTTTTTAAAATTACCCATTGTTTTTTTTTATGTGAAAGGGTTTGAATGTACAAAAAAAAGTTTTCTTGGTTGCTTTAACCTCCTACCCCAAGTTATTTTTTTAGATAACTTTAGATCAAGTTATTTTTGCTAAAGATCCAGCATATATGATTGTTATTGTTAAATCCCATTCATTCCTTGGCTCTTGATCTCACGGCCAACATGGGGATCCGTGGGAGGCTCATTTGGATCATGCTGTTAAATCTCAATAGTCCCTTGGCCCTTGATCCCACGGCCAATTTGGGGATCCTTGGGAGACTCACCTGTATGACTGTATCATGCCAATCTCCTTCTATATTTGGGTGGCTGATTTAGGAAAGATTATATTATGGTAATTATGCATGATTATGTCGTTATTTGTTTCTTTATTAAGACATCTTGTATAGATCTATAAATATGGATAGTTTTGTATAATGAAATTGAAGCATTTTTCCTCTCTAATTCTTGAATTTAACATGGTATCAGAGCAAGGCATTCGTTTCTTCTTCAAAAATTAGAGAGAGGGAGGGTTGATTCTTGCATTTTGTTCTTGCTTGCGTGCGTCCAGGGCAGTTGAGAAAGTGAGAGGGTCTTCCCTTTTGCGGTCTTCTATGTGCGGCTCTTGTGCATGCCTACCTAGGGGTCTAACCGAGTGAAGAAGATAATCAGGAGAGGGAATTGCATGCGTGCATGCCTGAGGGATGATCGGCCTTCATGCGTGTGCTGGAGCCGAACCAAGAAAAGAATGAGCTATTCAAGAGCTGTTGTACACGCCATCAAATCCTCTAATCGAAGAGCCCCTCCTTGCGTCAAATCCCGACCGCTTCTGCATGTTCCTGATCCTTTACCCTTATATTTGGGAAATGTACAAGAAGGTCGAAGCCTCCTTGACAATAGAAGAAATTGATTTCTCCAAAGATCTCAACCATTGGGATCAATCCCTCAAATTAGACGAACACCAATTCGTAACCCATGTTCTCTCCTTTATTGTCGCTAACGGAATCATCATTGAAAACCTTGCCTGTCGGATTTGGATGGAAGTCGGTTCAATGGATTTGAATGGAACGGTCCTAATACGTGGAGTTGCACCGACAATATGCGTGGTGGAGAAGAAGATGGCTTTCTTTGTGGTAAGGCTGTTCGTTGCTACGGTCTAGTGCGTGTTTACGGTGACTGAAGAGTTGGTGAGCACTCAGATGGTGAAGTATGCTACTTCCCTAAGTAAGCAGTTGATTGTGGATATCGAAGGTGAGGTTACAAGGAGATTAGAAACACTCTATCCTGCCCTGAAGGAGCTTGCGCTTGCTGGTTCTCTAGTTTCCCACCACTAGCGTTCGTTGCTGAAATTCTGAAGAATACAGGTTCCCACCACCTGCCTTCATTGATGGAATTCTAAGGAATACCGGTTCCCATCATCGGCCTTCATGGCTGGAATTCTAAGTTTCCACTACGAGCCTTCATTGTTGGAATTATGAGGAATATAAGTTTCCACTACCGGTCTTCATTGCCAAAATTATGAGGAATATAGGTTCCCACCACCGGCCTTCATTGCCAGAATTCTAAGGAATACTTGTCTTTCCAATGGCCTTCATTGCCGGAATTCTAAGGAATATTGGTAAGTTTACTTCGTGCGTTTGAGATTGAGGAGAGATTGAGCAGGAGGGCTCCTTTCGCGTGCAAAATCCAAAGTCTACCTTGCAGAAACGAGAGAAGTCAGTATGGGACCTCTTGCGTGTGTACAAAAAGAGCTGAGAGTTCCTTCATGTGATGGTCTGGGGCTAGGACAAGGAAGAGTGCAAGATATGCTCTCCTTCCTGCGATCAGATTAGAGGGATCAGAGCCCTTGCACAAGGTCGATCGAATATGAGTGTTCAGTTGGATTTGGACGATTGATTTCCATTGTGCTGAAGGTTGGTTCGATTAGACGGGAGGAGATTTGCATGCTAAGTGCTGAGCTGCTTGAGATGTATTTTTTTGCTGCTTTCCTTGAAGCTTGCCGCAACCCTAAAATAGAAATTTTTTTCAACCGTTGCGCCTTGATTGCCGGCCTTCCCTTATGGTTGTTATCATATCTATAAGCAATGTAGTCTTTATTGTTGCTCTGCTTAGTATAGTCTTCATTGCTACCATTTTTCACTGCAATGTTTGAAGCTAATTTATCCCAAAGTTTTCACCAAATGGAGGACTCTATGATGTATCAAGGGAATTGATAACTCTATTTTTTTTAGACTAATTATTAAGTTGGAAATAATAGATCTGTATTCTCCAGTTTGAGGCGGAGTGTTAAATCCCATTCATTCCTTGGCCCTTGATCCCACGACCAACATGGGGATCCATGAGAAGCTCATTTGGATCATGTTGTTAAATCTCAACCATCCCTTGGCCCTTGACCCTTGATCCCACGACAAGCATGGGGATCCGTGGGAGGCTCATCTTGATTTCACTGATCTCCTTCTATATTTGGGTGGCTGATTTGAGAAGGATTATATTAAAGCAATTATGCTTGATTCTGTAATTATTTGTTTCTTTATGAAGAAATCTTGTATAGATCTATAAATAGGGATAGTTTTATATGATAAAATTTAAGCCTTTTTCCTATCCAATTCTTGAATTTAACAGTTATGCAGGTTAGGATTTTGGAAGAAAGATGTGCATGGATGAATTATAATATTTTTACAAGTACGATGAACCTGAAGAAATTATTAGCATTAATATGAGATGCCCATTTTAATACCCTCCTGTTTAGAGTGCTAATTTATGGGAAGTTTATTATGCCGTTGGTGGAAGTCTATACTACATGCTTTCTCAAATGTCTCATCTACTCGATGAAATGGGAACAAGGCCCCATTTTGTAAGATGTCTTATGTCTTCATCTACAAAGTGTTTTGAAGGGCAAAACCTCAAATAAATAGGACTGAGAAATAAAAGTTCAAAATAGTCATCTGATCATTCACATGTGCATAATTTAGTTGAAGAGAATCACATTTTTCCAATTTTGTCACTCAACTATGCAAAATCGATCTCAAATAATCCCCCAATGACTGAATTATGATCAATAGATGCAGTGGAGGGACTAAATTGAGATTTATTTTGCATGACAATTCCCATCAATTTTTGCTTGAGGAACTATTTGGGATTCATTTTATTTAGTCCAAGGGCTAATAAGGAGAAATATAATATTCCAGAATTTAATTTGTCACATGAATTAGTTGGGGGATTATTTTGAACTTTAATATTTTAAGAAAATTAAGAGAGCATGAAACTTATTTTTTAACATTTGAATTCCAATATATAAATTGATTTTACCAAACTATACGTTTGCAATATAAAGAGATCTTTCATTAAGCCCATCATGGCTTTGCCCATATTGTCTGACAGTAATGTTTTTCTAACTTTTGCAGAAGAAGTAAATCAGGGAGCAATTTTTCTTCGATATCCACGCATGCAGCAGTTCCAACGTTGTCCTCTGTTCGAGCTGAGCCCACTTTCGCTTTTGCTATTGGAGCTATTTTAGTAACCTGTATTTTCTCTGTGATAGGCAGAAACCATCGCAGCTTTGGTTCACAGCTACGCCATGGCACAAACAGACTTATAAAGAAAGATGAATGAGGGGAAATTGCAGATGTAAGTTTTTTATATCAATAGCCAATAGTATCATATTTTTATTTTATAGCTATTGTCACATTTTCTTTTTAATTTTTGGATTCTAGGAGAGTTTGCAGTTTTGATGTCTGGTAGGTGATTTTTTTTTTTTAATATTGTGGGAAAGTACTAAATTTTATAGTGGAGAATACCTGTGAACTTGAAGCTTGCGATAAATTGGTTTCTTTGTTTTGTTAGATATTTCTGTATTGGCTAGCTAAGTAGCTGAACTGGGCAAGGTCAATGAAGCTCTGAAAGATTGAGAACTAGGTTTCCTTGGGTCAATCATAATGAGCTATATATATATGAATAGAGACATGCACGCAGGTACGTATAAAATGCTTTCCCTGTAATCAGCATTGAGTGAAATGCTTTGGTTGAACATACTTTTCTTTCTTTCTTTTTTAATTTATTTGTAAAATGGGGAGGGATGGTGGGTATTGCAGTTATTATGAAGCACAAAAATTAAAAAGAGAAATATAACTTTTTATTGCCCCATAATAGTTATAATTGATCAATTATACCTGTTTTTTATTTTTCTTGGAGAAATATTCTCGGAAGTTTTTTTCTAGGTATTCTTGCTATATAGAAATAGAATTTAAAACCCTTGCTCAAGGTTCACATTAACATTTGAATATGGAGTTACTCGAGCCTTCCTTTTCGCTACATCTCCAATTCTGATGATCTTGAAGAGCGTGTGATTGTTGTGTGGCAAAGATTCCTGGCTACAATCGCCACTTTCCAATTATCATTTCTATTCAAGAGTAATGATGTTATATGTTTGATTATTTAGGTTTGAATGTGTTGTTCAGGCACTAAATCCTAAATCCATAATGACATTAAACATCACGTTAGCTGTCATCTTTGTAGAAGGTTCAAATAATTTTGAAAGATGATACTTGAACAAGGTTCTAATACTGTTCGAAGAATAATGTTTGAATTAGGGTCGAACGTCGACTCGTACAATATTTGAATAATGTTAGAACATGGTTGGATGAAGGTTTGAACATGATTGATGTAATATTCGAGAAATGTTCAAATAAGGTTTGAGGTCTGTTCAAATATGGTTAGAGCATGGTTCAATTACGATTCAAATGTTGTTCGAATCGTTTTTTTTTTTCCTTCTCTCATTATCTTTTGTAGAATCAACTTAAGTGAGTCGTGTTGTTGTGTAATCATATATGTATAAAGACATTATAGTGCTCGGGTCACCTATAGAGTTGGGGGTATGATGCTGAAAATGATCATATATCTTGACGCTATTGATCTCATTGTCAATGCTGAGATTTGTTTTTAGTCAATTTCTTAAATCTCATAAATTGTATTTCTCTGTGTGCCCTAATTTGTTTGATATTGATGATGGTTGATGAAAACGATGAATACTCTATTATGTTAACCGTTGGAGTTGTTGAATTTTCTCTCATAATTAAGTTGGAGTTTCATGATTCCCATATGAAAAGGAATTTAAGAAGATGGACTTAAGAAGTAGGCTCTTAGAAAACTACTTGGATAGAGGAAAATATTTAAAAATGCAGGCTTGAAGATAACATTCTTGGGGTGTGTTTAGACTTCAAAGAAATGGTGTGTGAAAACTAGATTTATATTTTCTTTTGGGTAGTAGTGTCCCTCAATCCTGATTAACACTTTTTTTCTTGAGATACTGTCCGGACTCCGCTTGTAATAATCTCTCCTCTACTACAATCCTCTCAAACAATGATAATTGAATTATATAAAACATACTCAAATTCAAAATTTTTTAAAATAACTCATAAAAATTAAAATAAATATAAGAATATAAAATTTCATTATTGATTAAAACAAAATAATTCAATTTAAAATTTATATATATAATATCTTGCATTGCATACATGTAAGTGAGGGTGAATGATTAGGTGCGGACACTGGATATGGAGAATCATTCGGATTTCTCCTTGTCTATAGTAAAGGTGCAGTTACTGTAGCCGCTGTGCTTTTACTGTAGATAGAGAGAAATCCGGATGATTCTCTCTGCCCGATGTCTGCACCTAATAATTTATCGTAAGTGAGAGAGATTGAGATGAGAGAGAGCATGGGATGATTTGAGGTATATGAAAGGCCATGAGACCAATGTCGCAGTGATGGGGTTGCAGCGGTAGGTGTTAATTTTAGTTTTATTTTTATGTTTTTAGTGCTTTATATGTAAATAATGAAATTTAAATGCATAATACATAAATCTATTTATTTTATGAGCTATGTGTCGGATTCAAGTTTGTCCGTGGGTGACTCCCAACCTTACTAGTAAGCAAGCTCTAATGGATAGGACCCATGAACCTATGTAAGAATGGAAAGAAAATGAGGAAAAACTCTATGGAGAATGATTTACTAGTTCAAGTATTCTATAGAAAATGTAAAAAGAACTAAAAAGTTCCTCTTTCACGTTTTATTTATAGGGAAAATATATGAGTTGTTGTAGAAGGAATTATAAGGTTTTAATTTTTAGCTTCAAGAGAAGATAGTGTTAGGGCCTAGGGGTGTCAAGTCGGGTCAACGGGTTGAATTCAGATCGAATTTGATTTGACCCGGACATGAGCATAAACATGCGATAAGTTGCGTCAATTAGCTTAATTGATAAATATTTAAAAAATGATCATATGACAGGTCAAAGACATCGAAAAAAATCTTATTTCGTACGAAGTTAACGTCTTTATTTCGTACAAAGATTCAATACATATAAAGATATTAGGAGTTACAAGAGACACCGAAATCCTTACATTTTTTTTACACATAATGCTTGGGAAAGCAAAAAATTAAGACGTTTGACTCAACTAAAATGATTATATTAGTATTTGTCATAGGTTACAAATGATGGGCTTCATGAGATGAAGACGTTGATATAATATAATATAAATAAGCTCTACAAAATTAATTTCACGGAATAGTTTTATGAGGTCCGACTTATCTTGAAAAGAATCCTTTAGTATCTATTTAGACTTCGTTTGTGATAATTTTTTATTATTCCTTAAATCAAATTTTTAGTACAAAAAATTAAACTATTTGTACTAAAAAGCTGATTTACATAGCAGTAAGAAAGTCGTCGGCAGACGAGTGAAATTATTCCATGCGGATACGGACGCCGTCCGAAGACGAATCAGAATGTGCCACGTCACCCATTTGCTATGTTTCGCGACTATGTACCAGGTGACGTTTCACATTCTGATTTATCTCGGGACTGTCCAGTGTCAGCACATAATAATTTCTCCTCAAATGAAACCTTAGTTTTACATTTAAACCAAAATCTTTTTTTTTTCTTGCATAAATCAATTAAAATTGATCATTGATATTGTGCTAAAGTAATTTCAACCACACGTTGACTTTGATGTTTGTGAATTACTTCGATATAGTTTGTGTTATTGAATTAATGATAAATATTGTGCTTAGGTAATTATAGACTCCCCCATATTATTTAATAATTTATCCAACACTTATATTATCTAGTGTGATGTATTTTGATTTTTAGCTTCAATTATTAAATTTAATAAGCTCCTATTAACATTATTTATGAAAATTTTACATTTAAAAATATTTTATAAAATATTAATTTATCCTCTGAATGGGACATGCAACTATTAATAATATTAAGATTTGCATCAAGTTAATATATTTAATATTAAAAAAATATTTTTTTAAGAAATATTATTTAATAGTCCAAAAACAATATTTTAAAAAATAAAACTGTAATAATCAGCTCTAAAACTTAGTTGGTCGCCCCTTAAAAATAAGAATTAAGATCGTCAGCCCAACGAAGAACAGTGGCATTAAATGTAAATTATTATAATTTACCATTACTTCGCTTTCTTTAGAAAGATTTTTTTTGCCCTTACATCTTAATTAATAATTATTTATGATTAATTATAAAATTATAAAATTATTAAATTAATAGAGCTATTTTTCAGCCAATTTTGAATTTTTAGGTCAACCAAATTCTCACCAAAAAATTAATCAAGTTGATATTTCCAATCCAAATTGAATTAAAAAATCAATCGAATCAATAAAAAAAAAAATTCAAGTTTAAATTGGATTGTTAGAATTAGGGGTGTCAAAACATGTAACGGGTTAGATTTGTGTTCGACCCAAAATTGATCAAATTTGAATCTGGTCAACTGAAATCTAACCCGTTTAATATGTGGGTAAAATATGCGGTCCTGTAATTGATCTGCTAGTAACTCAAATGACTTGAACTCCATCTGATAATCTATTTTGATTTAATTTTTTTTTTTAATTTTTAACAATAAATTCGAGATTAATTAATAAAAAAAAAACAATCATACCAACAAATATAAAAAATCTAAAAAAAAACAATTGAATGAGTCATTTCAGATAAAAATTTTTAAACTCAGAGCAGATCGATTTGTTAAATTATTCAACCTTAATCTAAATTTTTAAGATCAAATTTAAATCAGATTATTTTTTAACCCCCTACTTACAGAGAAATTATTCCGTACGGAGATCGAACGGCGAGAATCACCCATATTTGTTACCTTTTAGCTGACCTTTTGCTACGCTTTTGCAAATACTCAACAGAATAGCATATGCATTTTTTATGAGTATTTACAAAAACGTAACAAAAAGATAATTAAAGCACAATAAATTCGAACGATTCTAACCGTCCGATCTCCGCACATAATAATTTCTCGTAATTAGAACGAGTATTCCAATATTGATATCTCTACCCATCTTTTTAAAAATAACACTCCTCTTACCAAGCCAAAAATAAGGGTGAAGATAAGATTTTAATGAAGAAAAAAATATTTTAATAATAAATTAAATTATATCGATTATTATTAAAATAAAGTGGTAAAAGCGGCGGGATTTTATAACACTACTTCTTGTCTTCTGTACGGTCAGAGAATACGCTCACCGCCCTGATGATCTTACCGCTGCTCCTCCGCCGATTCCTCCTCACTCTCCTCCTCTTCCCCCTCCTCGCCGGCGCAGAAACAAACCTTAACTCGGACCGCGCCGCACTCCTCACTCTCCGCAACACCGTCGGACGCACTGCGCTGCAATGGAACGAGACCAACTCCCCATGCACTTGGCACGGTGTTGGCTGCCTCCACAACCGTGTCGTCTTCCTCCGCCTACCCGCCGTCGGGCTCTTTGGAGCGATCCCCGTCGGAACCCTTGGAAATCTCACCGCCCTCCGAAGCCTAAGCCTCCGCTTCAACAATCTCTCCGGCGGCCTTCCGCCGGACCTCAACGGCGCTGCGCAACTCCGCAATATATATCTCCAGCAAAACCGGTTCTCCGGCGATATACCTCCAGTGCTCTTCTCGCTGCAGAAGCTCATTCGTCTCAACCTCGCCGGGAATGGCTTCACCGGTGGGATTTCGCCGGAGTTCAACAATCTCTCCCGACTGGAGACGCTGTACCTTGAGAGGAATCAGCTCAGTGGCGGAATCCCCGATCTTAATCTACCGAAACTGGAGCAGTTCAATGTCTCCTATAACCGTCTGAATGGCTCCGTGCCTTCTAAGCTTTGGAAGATGCCGTCGAGTGCTTTTAAGGGAACCTCGCTCTGCGGTGGTCCGCTACCTCAATGTCCCAACGGGATCTCACCGATGACAGTTCCGGAGGTCGCGGGAGGTGGAGGGGGGAGTAAGCTGTCCGGCGGCGCCATCTCCGGAATCGTGGTTGGTTCGACGGCGTTGATAGTTATAGTACTGATTCTTTTTGTGTTCTTGCGCCGCGGGAGTAAGGCTAGGGCACACGAGGCGGCGGCCATGGTTGCAAAACGGCCGGAGGCGGTGTTAAAGAAACCGGAGATGGGGAAGAGATTGATGTTTTTGGGGAATGTGGGAGCGCCAGAGTTTGATTTGGAGGATTTGCTGCGGGCTTCAGCGGAGGTATTGGGGAAGGGGACGTTTGGGACGGTGTACAAGGCGGAGTTGGAGGCCGGGACGGTGGTGGTGGTGAAGAGGCTGAGGGAGGTGATATTGGCGGAGGAGGAATTCAGGGAGAAGATTGAAGCAGTGGGTTCCATGAACCATGAGAATATTGTGCCATTTAGGGCTTATTACTACAGCCAGAATGAGAAGCTGCTGGTGTATGATTACATGCCGATGGGGAGTATTTCTGCTCTTTTGCACGGTAAATCCTTCTTTACCCCCTCTTTCACTTCTTCAACTGTTTGCTGTAGCTTAGTGTTACGTTCTTGAGCTTTCTGATTTGGCTAGAAAATACAGGATCAATGAAAAATTGAAATTTTTTTTGGGACTCAGATTGAGCTGAATAAAAGTCAACGAGATGATTAATGAGCCAAATTTATTTCTTGTAAATATTATTAAAATAATGAAGTCAAAAGTTTCTATAGCACACTTTTATAAGATATGATTACTATATGATTGAGAGCTGGTTAATTCCTTTTAATTTCAAGGACCTGGATGGCGGCGGAATAGGCATGGGGCCCAATCTTTGATTGAGGCAACGGTTTGGGAGGAAAATTCAAATTTGGGGGTTGTTTAGGGTAACTAGTTGTATTTTGTTTTAAGTGATTTCCTTAAGGGATTATCCTCCCTTGGCCTTCTCCCCTCCACGGCCCGTGCCCCATCTTGGCTCCACCAACACTTCCATGCCAAATCCCCATATTGCCGGCCACCTTCCCCATCCATCCCCTAACCTCCCATTAATTGTCTTGAATGATTTCCTAATTTATGGAGAAAAAAATTGGAGGGATTTTAAATTCAAATTCAAATAGATTTGGGTTAATTTCTTTCCTAATTTCCTATTCTAATTAGGTAACTCTTTTAATCCCTCAAATTTGAAATCAATTTCAGATTTCTTATTTATTTATTTATTTAATTGCTTGGGCCCACAATCCCAATTAAATAAATTCCCCAAATCCCCCTCCATAGGGCCGGCCGCCCCCTCTCTCTCCAATCTCATTAATTATAATCTAATTAAGATTCCAATTAACTAAACCTCTATCCCTAATTCCCTCCCAACCTATTTTAATTTCAAATTTGAAATTCCACTAACCCTATTTAATAAAAATATGAATTTACTTTTAGATTTTACAATTAACTCGCTCAAAGATTCCTATCCTAGCCGCCTCTCTCATACCCAAACCCTAGCCTACCACCGGCCTTTCCCTCTCATCCCTCTCGTTCCCTTCTTGCTTCACAAACCCGCCGCCCCAAGGAGTCCAAGAGAGGAGCCTTCCACACCCATGGATGGCCGACCCTGAGGTCAACCACGGTTTTGCCTACAACGTACAAGGAGAAATCGATATCCTACTTTTTACTTTCTACGAACCGGATTGGGAATACGACGACTACGTGGAGAGTTACGTCAACCACATCTTTTATTGCCTCACCGAAACGATTGAAGATCAACAATCCAAAGCACCTTGGCTTCTCATTGGACGATCCACTCCTCCTCCACCGCCGACTACCTTCTCTTGGATCAAAGCCATTGGTGTTGCATCCATCTTAGTGGCATCGTTTAGTATGCTGAAAGTCTCTCTCCGCTAAAGCCTTATATTGAGTGTGAGTGAGAATGGTAACTCTTGGTGAAATTTTTAAATATTAAGCTTTGAATTTTATTACGACATATCTAATATTATTGTAATATTTTGAATTGTCTTAACTTGTTCTAATCTCCTAAGTTTTGTAATTGCATGCCAAGACAAAATTAATAATTGAGAATTCTTTTAATCATGCCTTATGACTCATTAACCTTAAAGTAGCACGCTTCACATTACTTCTGTTAGTTCATTGCAATTCTTGTTGGTTTCGCATCACCAGCTCTCCAAATTTTTTATAAACGGGAGAGATGTTAGGAGACTGCCGAATTTGAACTAAACAGAGGACCTGATTTAAACAAAATGCAGGGGACTTGAATGGACTACAGGGAACATAACTTAATGTCTAAAATAAGACCTATAATTTGCAAGATAAAAATGAATCATGCTAGCAAGGATTAAATGAAAATTGCTATGACATGCAATCAACGACAGAAGTTTTTTTTTTTTTAATGAACAGGAAACTTGTAATGAAATCCATGGTTTAAAATTGCGCAATATGAGGCTCGCCTTGAGGCCCGCCTTTGCGCAATTCCAGTAAAAAACGCCTCGATACTTACTCCTCGAGTTTTTTTTATGAGGCTTGCGCCTCAACTTGATTGAGGCCCGCCTCGTCTCACTGGCATGAGGCTTACGCCTCACGCTATATATATTAAAACTTACATAAATATTGAAGTAAATGCCCAATATTGGACTCTATAGGAGAGGAGGAAGGGGAGAGAGCAGTTCACCATAATGATGATTCAAATGAAGAACCCCTTAGTGATGACAGTGGTGATGACTTATGAGTTCTTATGTGATATGTCATTGTTATTTATTTTTGGAAATTAGAATTATATGTTAATGAAAAGAATATTGGGATTTGGGAAAGATAGAATTTTGAGTTAAACTATATTTCATGTTGTCTTATTATTGATATATTTTGATTTCACTTCATATCTTATGCTTTTATATATTTTATATTATTCACTCATTAGTATATAAAAAATTTATCATTTTATATTTACGCAATCTTTTGATTTTAAGGCTTACGCCTCAAAACGCCTTGAGGCTTACGCCTCGCCTCACGAATGAAAAACGCCTCAATGCCTGAATACGCAATTTTAAACATTGATGAAATCTTAACCGACATGATTTGTTGACTTGTTCACCAGCAACAACACAAACATTAGAAGAATTGCAATGAATGCAATGACTCGTTTTCTTCCATCAGTAGGCTTTATAATAATAGTGGCGAGGAGAGTAGAAATTTAAGATGTTGGAAGGCTGCCTTGCACTCCTCATTCCTTATGAAACGTTTGGTTCTCTTTAGAACTTTGAAGAAAGGCGAACACCTTTAGACCGATTTTGATAAAAAGTGGTTGAACCCAATGACTCGACCAGTGAGTCACTACATGTGCCTTGTAGTCTTGGGCAACGACATCTACAAGAATGTGTTTTTCTTGTCGAGGTTGACATTGATGCCTTCTTGGGTGACAGGAATTTGCCTGAACTTGCACCAAAAGTAAACTTTAGTGGATTAAGTACATATTATACTTTTTTAACATGGCGAATATCTCATTCAAGTTTTGGATGTATTGCTCTGATGACTTACTTTTCACTAGAAGGTCATCCACATACACCTCAATGTTTCAGCTTTTATGTTCTTTGAAACTCCATGCATTAGTAGGTCGCCATAATATTTCTTCAAATGAAATAGTATCACCTTGTCGCAACACATACCTTCTTTATGATGACGATTGTTTTCTTGTGGTCATCGGGTGCACCTTTATTTAGTGATAGTCGAAGAAAGCATTGAAGCTTATCACCAGAAACCTAACCTTTGAGTCAACCAATGAGTCGATCAGCGGCTGCCTGTCCTTTGGGCATGCCTAATTCAAATTTATGAAGTCAACGCATATGGCCTTGCCTCTATGATTTTTCTAGAGAATGCATTATTTAATTCTGACTCCCCCCTCACTTGGGTGGAGGGTGGTATATTAGTGTGGCTATGGTTGTGGTCAACATTGTGCTTTGAAATTAGTGCTCTAGTCTTGAATCTCGTTCGGTGAGCTATCGAGTCAGACGATCCTTTTGGAGTACGCTCCCTTAGGAAATTTCTCTGAACTTCTCCCAATGCGCCTTGAACCATCTTGATGATTCTCTCATCCATCTCCACCAAGGCATGATGGGTAGTATAGTTTTAATTCCCGGTGTTGACTAGTGACTCATGGTTTTGTTTCTCTTCATGATATGCTTATTATCTGGTTTTGTATCTCTTCGCATTGTGTTTGCATCCGATTTTTTTTGTGCAATGCCCTGGCGCTGTGTACCCAAGCACTGCAATATTGTGTTCCCGAGCTCCCTAATGCTGATCAACAGAGAGAAGAGCGCCTCAGCACTCTGGTTTCGGTGCTGCAGCGCTGTGTGTGTCTCAGCGCTGTGAGTTTGAGCGTCACAACGTTATCAAACAGAGACTTGAGCACTGCAGCGCTGTGAGATGAACTGGACGGTTTTCTTTCTCATTTTTTCTGAAGGGTTGCATCCCTTGGGGTTATTTTTCTTGGCTTTATCTTGTATTTTTGGAGTTTATACATAGAGAATAGTGCATGTGAGAAGGGAAGTAAGGAGAGATCGAGAGAGAGGAGAGATATGTACTTATTTCTCTCAATTTTCATAGTGGATTTCTTGATGTGGTGTGGCGCCGTGGTTTTTTTTTCTATTTTGATTTTTTTCATGTTAAATCATGGTATTCTTTACTTTCTACTGTTTTTACTTTCTTGTTTGTTTCGTCATTGTGGTGTTACTCCTCATCCCAACATCTACATCCAACAACTCTCCATTTTTCTTTTATAGAATTCAATAACTCCACAACCTTTATTCATCATGCTATAAGCCAGATGATCCAAATGAATACTAAGGCATGAGGAGACGACAAATACATAATACAAAATATTACTCAGATAGTGGGAGTAGCTGGCAAATACATATTTAATCCCAAAAAAGAATCTTATGAAACTGTGAAATAATATTGTTGTGTAATTAACTAATTTTTAAAATTTAAAAGGATTGACTTAAAACCCAAGCAAAGATTTGAACATAAGGAGTGCCATTACTACATTTATATTGTGGGTGATACTATAAATATTTGGGTGTTACAATTGCAGAAAATAGGTGCACTATCAACTATAAAAGTCCCATATATCACTATTATTGAATCCAACAAGGTGATGGTTTCGATCTAATTTTTTTTGGAAGAGTTAGATAGGTCACAATAAACTATATATAATTCTTTTTCTTTTTTTTTTGTGGTGATATTCAAATACATCATCAATTTGGAAAAGAATTAATGATGGTAAAACACATGTATGTTTTAATACATACATAGTTTGTTTGAAGTTGTTTACAACCCATTAAGATCAAGGGGAAAGAAAAGCCTATTGATATGCTTAGAAAAAATGGCACCAAAATAATGCTAAAGCTTTGTGAAGCCTTAATTAACCTCTATGCATGATGATTTGGGGGAAAGAGGTATCTAAGCATCATCCACAAAGGATGTACATCAAAATTTTTTGTCTTTATGTTCAAGATTGTCAAAATTATAGAGTTGAAGTTTTATTCCATCAAATCTTTATAAAATATGATTGAAATGTCTTATTTTTTTCCAGTATTAGATTGGGATTTTCAAATGCATGGATAAATATTCTTTTAAAGCTATGAAATCTTATAAAATATTGCAAATTTTTTTTATATGTTCAAATCCATGCAATTTTAGAGTATAAATAAAACATTAGAAGGTTGGATTTGACATTAGAGTATCTATTCTGTCTGTGCTCTCTTCTTCCTTTTTTTTTAAATTTTTTTTATTTTAAGTTTTTTTTTTTATTTGAAGTTTGTTCTGAAGGAATTGAAAGAAATGGTAATCAAATTAAATTGATGTTATTTTCTACCCTCTTGTTTGGTTGAGGAGAAATTGAGTAAAAATTTTTTTTTTTGACATTTTTGGTTGGTTCTGAGAATTTGAAGTTAGTTTCTTATGAGAGAAATGTTCATAGCGATGTCCTAACAATTTTCCTTCCCATTTTTACTGTAATTGGTAGGAAATTGATGGAAAAATGCATTTGTTCATTTTCTATAATTTGTATCACCTATTAATTACATTAGAACCAAACAGCCAATATAAATTTATAAATAGATAGTATTTGCATTCCCTCACATTCCTTCAAACCAGCATACAAATCAGAAGTTTTTAACGTTCATACAACTAAATAAGCTTAAATTGAAACTATTTTCTTCCAGGCTTAATAAACCCTTCACTTCAGAAAAGCTGGGTTTAAAGATTGCTAGAAATAGACTTTTACACTATCAGGCATGCATTCTTTATTCGTTTTTCCTAAACATCTTGGGCCAAGTTTACTTAAGTTTGTGAAAATTTAGCATAATTACTAATAATTCTTTATTAGCTCTTAACTTTAATTAATTAGCTACTAATCTGGTTAATAAGCTAGCAATTAAAGTTTATTTGTTGATTATTATCATTTGTATCCTTATCCTAACTATTTAGATTGGCTTTATGAATCTTTTTGGTTTTTTGTTATTCATTATTGTTGAGTGTTAAATAAGATGTTAGTTGCAATTGATTAATAGATATTTCTAGTAAAATAGCTACTTATAGGGTTCTACATGACATCAATAATTAATGGCTAATACAAATTCCTTAAAACCAATTAGTTTAATTGCCAATTGATTTATTTACTTCAAATAGATACTAAGAAAAAAGTCTATATGACATTTGAAGGAGAAGGTCGGTGGAGTTGATTTTAAGAGGTTAAGATTTCGTTTGGGAAGACTTTCTTACTGCTTCTTAAAGTATCTTTCTAGTACAAAAAGCTGCTTTAAGAAGCAGTAAGAAAGCTATCACAAACGAAACCTAAGAGGAGGTCTAAGTTTGATCCATTCAAAAATGCTGGATGAGGATTAGGACGTGTTAATCGAATTCTTTTAGATTGGAGCTAAATTTAAGAGCTTATTAGGACATTGATGGAGAAGATTCTTGATGTTAATCATTAGAGGCTGAAAATAAATTTAAATTGAATGAATCAAAGGACTGAATGGGGATTAGAATGTAATAGCTGGATTAAATGCCCTAATCCAAATTACACACTTCAATAAATTTCATTTATAGTTTCATCTGAGCTTATATATAGTTTATTTCCCTATTTTGCATCAAAGAAGCTTATTTGGTTCATATAGTTATGATCACAGAACTGATCTTGTCACTGCCTATGCTATTTGGCAAACCTGCAGGAAACAGAAGATCAGGAAGAACCTCTCTAAACTGGGAGACAAGAATCTCCATTGCTCTGTCTGCCGCCCGTGGCATCGGCTATATCCATTCGACGAGCCCTACAACTTCCCATGGCAACATCAGGTCGTCAAACATCTTTTTTAACAAATCCCATACTGCTTGTGTGTCCGACAACGGGCTTGCAGCTCTCGTCAACCCTAGCAGCTCTTCAATCCTTGTCTCTGGTTATCGAGCTCCAGAACTCACCAACTTCCGCAAGATCTCTCAGAAGGCCGATGTTTACAGCTTTGGTGTCCTCCTGCTGGAACTGCTCACCGGAAAGTCGCCTGAGGAGGGCGCCAACCTCCCTCAATTGGTGCAAGCAGCGCTTCGGGAGGAATGGTCGACCGATGTTCTTGATCTGGAGTTGCTTAGGCAACAGAATGTGGAAGAGATGGTTCAGCTATTGCAGGTTGCTGTAAACTGTACGGTTCAGTGTCCGGATAGCCGGCCATCGATGCCGGAGGTGGTGGCGCAGATTGAAGTGATCAGTTCTTCAAGTAGAGATGCTGTAGAAGTCCAAGCACAGTAGCAGCAGGAGGAGGAGGAGGAGGAGGTTGTGCTACAGAGCATTGAAAAGCCTATGGTGCAGAATCTTGAATCTTGTTAATGGAAGATATTAGTTAGCTGGAATTGGATTATCTACAGTTACTATGATAATTGAAAGGTAAAGTTTTCAGATATCAATTATTTAATTCCTTTTGAACAGTTAGGTTTTTTTTTTTTTTTTTCAGAATTGCAGAGTACAAAATTGATTGAATGATTAAGATCTGAATCCCTTGTAAGTTCAAATCACACACACACTCTCTCTCTCTTGTAAAAGGAGGAAAGATGTAAAAGATCTAAAAAAATCACAAAGGCTAAAAACCAGTCAATTTCAATTTGACAAATGAAGTTGAGATACTACAGCAACTTCAAGTTTTTATCTCGCTAGTGGGATTGGCTATATAAATTTTTTTCTTCATTATCTCTTATTAAGAGTCAAATTTTTATTTAAATCCAATAAAAAATGTTCATTTCTAATATTATTTAACCAAGTTTTTTTTTTTAAGTTTATCTCTATCTTTCTTAACATAAGTCAAATCTAATACATCTACACTCTTAATTGGGTCCCCTTTTTGGTGAGATAATGAGATTAAGGCTTCGTTTGGGATGGTTTTTTTATTGCTTCTTAAAGTAGCTTTCGAGTACAAAAATTTTAACTTTTATACTGGAAAGCTGTTTTAAGAAACAATAAGAAAGTTGTCCCAAACAAAGCCTAAGATTTAATTTGGAACAACTTTATTGCTGTTTTTTATAGCAACTTTTTAGTATAATTTTTTTTTTTAATAGAAGATTGATTATAACATTTGAAAAGTTGACAAATTTGCTTTGGGATAATTTGGATCTATTTGGGAAGAAACTCTACACCATAACAAACGGATATATTAACATATACTACATATAAATTAGATGTTTTTTGTAAAGTTCAGAAACATTATTCAAGAATCAAAACTTGTTGTATAGTAATTTGTTATAAAATATATATTTTAAAATTTTTATTTATTAGATAAGCATTGTAAATTTAAACCTATTTTAATTTATTTTAATGAAAAAGGATTCATGTAGCCGACTCAATATAGTGAGACAAAGGCTTGATGTTGTTGTTGTATCTATATGATTTAGAGATGTCAAATTTTTTTTCAAAAATTTTAGAAGCCTAAAACAAGATAAATATTGTGGAATTGAATCTACTATATATTGATGAATATAAATGATCTATAAGATTTATTCATGTGACTTTTTCTTGTCTTTCAGGTCAATGAAGAATTTATTTATATTTATCTTATTGAAAGTATATGTTCATACATGTTCATATAAGTAACTCTTCAAGTATCTAAACATATTCATGTCGAAGTGCTTGAGGAGAGAGGGTATGCATTCATAGTAATACTCGCCTAAAGAAAACCTCACTTCGATGGTAAGTCGCCAACCCTAATTTGAGCAAGCAAGAATTGATCTCAATAGAGCTCATGACATATGAGCTCACCTTTATAGGATCAGACCAAAGATGCACTCATTCTTGATGAGTTTGTCTAGAAAGCTTGCTTAAACGAGCCTTTGCCCCGAGGGGCAGTTGCTTAAAGAGAGCTCGCTCCCCCCATAGAAGTTGTTCGCAACCAAGGCCATTCACTTTCTAAGGATGTCTCAACTCAAACTACATAAAGGAGACACTCGTATAGCGTATGATCATGACTTCGTTGGATTGCATTTGTCCCTAGCTCGTAGCCACTTTTCACCTAGGGGATTTGCCATTTATCCCTTAGGAATCACAATTCATCCTTAAAGATTTGTCTTAGATACCATCTCTTGAGATCTCACCTAAGGTATAAGTCCTTGAAGAATCTCACAATGGGGACTCACTTTCTCATAATATATCAATTTTTAGTGGTAGCATTTTTTTGTAGTCATCGTAACCCTAAAAAAAGGAGTTGAGAGGCATATTTTGGACTTCATGTTGTTTCATTCCAATTTATGTGATTTTCATTATTCATAGATATCTTTAAGCTTTTTCTTACTCTTCAAACTTGATGATTTTTTCATTTGATTCATTTGCTTTAACTGGTTAAACCTACTACTGAGGTTAGCTATCTCCCACAGACAAATTTGAATCCAACAAAAAGCACGATTTCACTTTAAGAAAAACATTTAAGATCACAAATTTGAATTATACATTTTATGATTTATCATTTAATACAAAAAAAAAACACTCATTACATTAACATTTGTATGCCACTTTGGATACACCATCATTTATTTCAATATTCAACTATTCATTTTCATGCGGAAACAAAAGAAAAAAGAAAAAAGAAAAAAAAAAACATTGGGATATGGATATCCAATCAAAATTTTAATTTGATGATGATTTATTTTGTAATTAATCAAATGAAAATCCACTTTGGTGACACCATTATTTAATATAATTTTTTTTTTGACATTTTGACCAATTTTTTTGTTAGGATATATACCTTAATACAAATTTATTTTTGATAGCCAGGATGGCAGGCTGCAAGGGGGAAACGATGACAGTGGCCGCCGGCGACAACCGGTGGCGACCATCTTAGAAATCTTCACTCTGCTCTCAAGCTTTGCTTTCGACCATTAGAGAATAATGTAAAACCATTGATGCCTAGATCTGCTCCCTTATTTGAAGTTTTCTTGGCATCAATGGCTTCCTTTGAAGCTGTCTATAAGGCTGAGGACTAAGATTTCCTTTGTTTTTCTTAAGTCTTCTCAGTTTAAACTTTATTTAATGGATGCTTCTCTGTTAATTAAAATCCCTCAACAAACAAAGGAGATTAATTTCCCATATAACTCTTATGAACTTCTTCATTCTATAAAAAGATAAGCTCCACAAAATCATTATCATTTATTTATATGATTATGACTGTTATAAGAAATACTACATCAAAAAAAAAGTATAATGCTACATAGAATATCCTAGAAATGTATCACCTCTTTATTGGCCAAAAGACATCAGGGGGTTATAGAGCCCTATTTTGATAACTTATCTTTGGATAAGCTTAATGCTATCGAATATGCACTAGGTGAGATCCATAGAGTGGGCGAGCTTGTTAGTTCTGAGTAGGAGTGAGCGAGCTAGTCTACTAATGAGTTCCGAGCAAGTGGTGTTAGACAACTAAATGGTGCCGGGAGGACTGTTGGTGGCCGGTGTTGAGTCTTGGATTGCCTTAGAGGAAAAGGCGAGTGAACTGATGCTTTGTAGAAGATGAAATCAGTGGCCGCAGACCATGTTAGGGCGAGCAAAGAGCCTTATGAGTAGATGATTTCCTATAGTCGAACTTGGTTGTATGGGGATGAAGGCATCTACCCTGTGTGGAGGCAAGTTGATATGTTGGTTGCCTCCATCCCATGAAGCAAGTGCCGAGTTGCTTGGTTGTTGAGGTCTCTTGTTGCCCCTGAGAGATGCTACCTTTCTTCATAGGCCCGGACTAGTGGGTTCTGATACCCCTTCGACAAATTCATTTGTGGAGCCCATTGGATACGACTCCTCTCCTTTTTACCCATCAACTACCGATTAAATATTTGTGAAGACATATGTTACTATACAATATTCATATTCATCTTATTCAAGTTAATGAAGTATATAGTATGCAAACTAAATTTTGGTCACTGAAGGTTGAACTAGCTTAAACCGCTTGTAACTAAGAATTTACTTCATCATCTCCTAAAGCCTTCAAAACTCAAATCATCTGCGTATTGGTGAATTGCCTAAGAGCTATACTTAACTCGATCATCCACACTAAATTATTGGACTTGGCTAAATACTCACGAAGTCCTCCACTCATTGAGAGTACTCACAAGAAGTACTTATTGAATTGCTTTACTCGAAGTCCAAGTTAGTGTTAATGTGTGCATTGGCCTTATCATGGATGATGTGAATCTATATTATTCATAAGGGCAAGTGATGAATTAGGCGGGCATCGGAGCTGGTGTTGATCGCATGTATCGATTTTATAGGAGATGGTGTCCATTCATATCATTGCTGACGACAGACAAAAAAGTCTGAGGGGATTTACAAACTTACGTTGGCTTGAGCTTGAACTTTCGAGCTTAGGTTTGAACTTAATTTTACGAGTTCAAGTCGCCTCACGAGCTCACCATTTATCATAATTGATAGCAAATCATTCTTATCTAAATTATTATTGTAATAATATGTTTAATAAAATAAAAAAATGTAATTATAAATAATAAGAAATCACATGAGATAAATAAAACTTTAAAATATTTTTATTAGTTTTATTGAATTTATATATATCCTAAGTATATTTAATATTAATATTTTTTAAATGAGCCTGCTCACGAGTTGACGAGTCCGAGTGGATATTCAATTTCAGTTCTATTTTGTCTTCAAATCCAGCTACATAGGAAGCAACTATAAAATCGTCAAGACTACTTGAATATCTATCAAAATACTGAGATTATTCCATATTACTATAATTGTGCCAAATGAAGTTCAATTTTTCTAGCTAGCCAAGTTCATTTTGAAGTCGCAATAACTTGGCGTCGAATCGGACGGCTGAGATCAACAGATTAGGAACTGATCAACCTCCCCTTAAGCTATGGAGTCCATCCATTAAATTCGAAAGGAGAAAAGCATGCAACTCACCTTGTTTTATTAGCTGTGAGCTTTCGCTATCAATTAAGAGGTCTTGAATTTAAGTCTTATATATGTGATGTGTGTATGAATTTGTCTTAATTGATCTAAATATTAAAAAAATAAAAAAATAAAATAAAATAAAGAGAGAAAAACTGAGGCCTTAAATCTCCATGCAAGCGACTGCCATTATCATGAACAAGAGTTATCCTTCCAACTAAGCTTATGTATCCAGCAAACCACATGCTAGGAATATATGTATATCATGCCAGCCAAAGTATATTTTCTTTTTGGGATTCCAATTAAGTGCTTGCCTCATCATGAAATGAGATCAATTTTATTTACATCAACTCTACAAGTACATCTTGTGGCCCTCTTAAAAGCAATATATACATATAGGATTTCTTGGAAGATTGTCTAGGATCACTTTTTGTTGGAGGTGTCAAAACAGGTTAAGGAGTTAGGCTCGGTGTAACTCAAAATTGACCCTACATGAATCCA